TTCACCAACAACCCGCCACTCTACCCTGGACACGAACAATACGTGGACCAGTCAATCCGCCTGCTATACATGCAGCCGCAAATACACCATCCACCACCACTCATTACCAGCGAACAAGTGAGACAAACAATAACCGCACTGGACCGGCAAAAAGCCCCGGGCATTGACGGCATCACCAACATGGCCCTCAAAAAACTGCCTCAAAACCAAATTGAAGACCTAGTGAAAATCATTCAAGCCACGTTCAACCTGTGTCACTTCCCCTCCGGATGGAAGCTGGCAAACATTATCTTAATCAGGAAAAGCGGAGAGTCCGGCCAAAATCCAAAAAGCTACCGCCCAATAAGCTTATTGCCAGCCTTGGGGAAAATCACCGAGAAAATCATCAAATGGGACCTTCAAGACTCGGCGAACCGCTTGAACGTGATTCCCAACGAACAGATAGGTTTCAGATCCGGACATTGCACCGTCCACCAAGCCACCAGACTGACGTCCTTGATTTTACGAGGCGCCAACAGACGGATGGAGACTGGGGCAGTCTTCTTAGATATCGCCAAGGCCTTCGACAGGATGTGGCACCAAGGCCTCCTATTAAAGCTACTCAGAGCAGGTTTTCCGCACTATCAGGCCCGCTTGGTGGCGGCCTTCCTCGAAAACAGGAGCTTTTGCGTCTCCATTAACACCAACACGGCCAACGCAGCCAAATCAACGTATTGCAAATCCAAGCTGGCGTTTTCCAAGGCTCCCCAATCAGTCCGCTCCTCTTCAATATATTCATGTCTGACATTCCAAAGTCCAGAGAGTCCTCTCTGCTGTCATACGCCGACGACACGGCTATCCTGACTACCGCCAGAAGCAGGCCAATAATCAGGGCACGACTCCATAGACACCTGTCCGATCTGGAAGCTTGGATGGATAGATGGCGACTTCAAGTCAATCCCAGAAAAACCCAGGCCATATTGTTCGGGCGTAACCGCGAGCACCCGCCACGAGAAAAACTCAGATGGAAGAACACCGAGCTACCATGGAAATCACACATTAAATACCTGGGCATTATCTACGACAAAAGCCTCAACTGGAAACGCCAGGTCCAGTACGCCAGGAACAAGGCCTGAGCCCAGTACAGACAGCTGCACCCGCTACTCAACCGCCTCAGCAAGTTGAACACAAGAACCAAATTGGACACCTACAAACTTTACATCGGGCCTATCATGACTTATGGTGCCTCAGCCTGGTACAGCACAACCACTCCAGAAAACCGCCTTCCGCTCCAAAGCCTGGAAAATCGATTCCTGCGAAACATTATGAACGCTCCATGGTTCGTAAGGAACACTACAATCAGAAGACACTCCGAACTTCAACCAATAGACCGACACATTAACGACCTCTGCGACAGCCATTTCGTCAAAGCCGACCACTCTACAAACCCCCTAATCAGGGACAGTCACACCCCAGCCCCCCCCCCCACCGGGACAATCCACACCCTACCAGGGAATTACACTCAGAGGTAGACACTTACCGCCTCACTCAGGATCCGACATGGCAGGATCATCACAATCACTATACATATCATGACCTGGGATTCCAGAACATTTTCTAACATAAACATGGGCACATAAGGTAACTATACTTTTCCCACAAACAAAAATTTCAATTTAGCCAGGACAAAAAAAAAAAAAAAAACGTCGAATCCAGTCATCGAAGGAACACGGAAGAGAACACTTCGTCCTCTACCACACCGCCTCTGAAGATGTCTACCGCAGCAGTAAACTATATAACCTCTCGATCAGCAATGAAGCATTTCCCGTCTCGGATTGTAATATACTATTTCCCTAGATTTGACCGGCCGTGAAAGCCTTCATTCTCTACTTTAACGATTCTTTTTTAAAAAAATACTATTTTAGGTGACCGGGCTATACTGCACTTTTACCAGACTTAATTACCGAAATTACAATCAAAGTCAAAGTTGAACAAAGATTACAAAGAGAGAGTTGCAAGGTTTAGAAAACAAAATTGTTGGCCAACAGCAAGAACTTAATACTCTAAGGACCGAAAAGGAAAACACAGACCAGTTTTTGCGAAGCAAAAGTCTGAGAATTTTTTGCCTCAAGGAAAATCTTCAGGAAGATGGGGTAAAGAATCTTGCTTCAAATAAATTCCAGAATTTGTTTGTGGTTCGTATTTCTCACACAAGCTCAAATACATAAGCTGTTCTGATTTTGTTCGAGCATTGTAATTTACAAATCTTTGGTGACCATTTAATATCAGTAAAAAACTGGCGTGCCTGTATTTTGTTTATCTTTGCTAAGTTGGGCTTATCGATGCGAGAAACGATATTTTGTCTATTTCAATTTTAAATTTTATTTGCGCTTAGCTAGATTAGATTTCTTGAGTCGAACTTAGATGTTCATTTTATTTTTTAGTTTATATAGGTATGAAATTCCTTTTTTTTTGTGAAAAAAATGAAAAATTTACTGGTAAATAGGGTAGAAAGCATTACGCCAAACACAATAAATAAAGGTCTGTTTCAAGGTCTAAGGTTCTAACATGTCAAAACTGTCCCATGAACTCTTATTGTATTCTATTATATTATACATTGCTAACTTGATTTTGATTGTTTTTTTTGTTAAATTCAAGCCCCAGGCAGCAATAATTCCTATATTTGAATTGAAATAACTCTCACCACAACCAACTATTATAACTCTGAGGAGCCCAAAAATGCAAATTCTGATAAACTTAATATTAATTGAACCTCTGTGCCAGTTATTATACCAACGATTTGGCAAACTTCCCAACAACTTTCAACAAAAATTATATCCCGATGTAATATATATAATATTTAATATTTGTAATTTATAATCCCTTGGTAAACCACTTTGGAATTATAGTGTACAAGCAGCATGTGGGATTCCAATGGAATTCTGTGGGATTCCTTGGGATTTTATGGGATTTCTGGGCTGGGACTCTGTAACGAATAGAGATATTTTCTCTATCTCTATTGACGTCTCCTCTCTATTGATTTCGACAAAACAGGAGACAGCAAGTGCCATAGGGATAGGGATAACGATCTCTATCCGTTACAGAGTTCCAGCCCTGATTCCTTTAGTTTTCTTGATGGCTCAATGTTTTTAGTTTGTACCTATGTAGCGGTGGCAAAACTGAAAAACGAGACTTCTTTGTCCAAAGTCTTTTCTCGTTAACATTCAAAATAATTTTAAAAATTCCCAGGAAATTCCTTAAGGAATTTCATTGGATTGGGATTCCAGTAGGATTGCGTGGGATTTCAATAGAATTCCAGTAGAATATCATGGGATTCCGGTAAAAGTGGGATTCTAGTGTATATGTTACGGTTAATATGCAAACTTGGCTAGTTTGTAAACTAGCTGGATAGTTTACAAACTAACCAATACCTTGGTTATTTATAAAAAAATTTCATATTTTTTATAAAAATGCCACTTTTCCTTGTTTGAAATTTTCAAATGGCATTTGAGGGAAGACTCGAGCAAAAATTCCAGGTATTTTTTTGGTTTTCAGTCATGCAGAACCTAATGCCGAAAACCGATTTGAAGTAAGGATGAGCATAAAAAAGTTTTCCATATGGTGCAGACTTTTCCGCGGGCACTGTAGATATAAAAAGGTATTGCCCCATATTTATAAAGAACTGTGCTTTTGAATTATCGAGGCCTCTTTGGCTGATACACAATAAATCTCTGTCATTAGGTATATTTCCCAATGTATCAAAAATGTCATTTGTTTCTCCAATTTATAAAAACAATGGCTCAAGAAATGAGGTCACTAACTATCGGCCAATAACTTTGATGTCACATTTCCCCAAAATTTTTGAATGTATTGTTAATGAATTTCTTTCTGTGTGTTTCCAAAATATTATCACACTCACAGCATGGCTTTTCACTTTTCAAAGGGCAGATCAATTACAACAAATTTACTATTGTACGAACAAGTAATTTCTAAAGCGCTTGAGAATGGATTTGCAGTTGACTCCATTTATACAGATTTTGAAAAGGCTTTTGACAGGGTTGATTTTGAAATGTTGTTGCAGAAGCTTACTGGTTATGGTGTGAATGGTATATTGTTGAAATGGCTTGAATCTTATTTGATAGGTCGTAAGCAAAGGGTAAAAGTTGGAACATCTTTGTCCACAAGGGGTTCATCTTGCTCCAGTACTTTTGCCAACATTTTCATAAATGATTTTATTAACTGTTTCCATCATAGTAATGTTTTATTGCACGCAGATGATTTTAAGGTGATTGACTCACCAGATGCATCAGTGCTCCTGCAGGAATACTTTCAACGTTTTGAGAAATGGTGCGAGAACTTGCGAGAATAATAATATACATATATAATATACTATTAGTTCTGTGAATTTTAGATTTTATCAGTTAATATGTAGAGGTGTCACGATCCTGATTAGTTTTCTTTAAATAAATCGAGCCATTTGCACGAAAAGCTGCTTTATATCCTTTGGCTCTCTTGTATTCCCTAGTCTTTTTAAAAGGATGCGCTTATTCAAAGGTAGATCTTCGTTGAGGTAAATTTCCTTGAATGAAACTTCCAAGTTGCATTTTTGCACATTAATCCCCTTCTGTTCAATTGTTTTAAGAATGTCCTTTTTCACCTGAACATGGCTCAACTTTACCAACACAGGTCCTGTATCATCTTAATATCTAATATTACCGCACAATAATATACAAATACGACTATTACATACTATCAACAATGATTTATAATAAAATTAGGTACTTAAATGCCGCGTCAAGACAATGAAAACTTTATGGGAGAAGAAGTGTATCATGAAATCATGATATTAACACAGCTAATCTTAAATCAAGATTCCAATTAAAAGCTTTTCAAAATCCAATAAGCTAATTAATATTATCACGAAAGGAATTTCAAATATTTAATATTTGATAAAGTGTGTCCAAAAACTAATATTAAATCCAAAGCAGAAAAAAAAACGGTTTTTATATGAGAAAAATTACCTTTCTGGTAGTAAACCTGTCAACCCTGTCAGCCAGGAAGTACCTTCCACCCAACCATCAGGGGAACTATTTAAAGCCTCGCTGCTCAAATAAACATAATCACCAGTCCTCAACTCCAACTCGTCGCATTCTGTTGGAGTATACGGATGAACAACCTAAAAGAGGAATTCCATAATAGATCTCAGTTTCCTAAAGTTTTAACTCTTACCTTATGTACTTGTTTGCCGTTAACTCTAGGATCTCTAGAGTACAATCGCAACTCCCAATTGCTCGATACTGCAGGATCAAGCTGGTCAACTAAAGCTTTTAAATTTTGGTACTGGCTGTTTGGAAACTGATACGCTAGAGTTAAATGGAGGGACTTCACGTGAGGCTCTAGACTTATGGCTACAAAAGAGAAAGAGGTTTTCAGTAAAATGAAATAAAAAGTACATATAAACATTAATATTCAACATAAAATAAATAAAAATCGTAAACAAAAGCACAAAACGACATCAAAAAGCAGATATAGTCTTACATCTGCTTCCTCTTGGAATACACCTGGCCGTAGTAGTAGTGCACCACGGAAAACAAGCCGTTAATGCGTCAAATTGTTCATATGTATCACTTATTACTGAAAACAGTCCCAAATTTCAAATTTTTAAAATAATTAAGTCTAATATAAATTCTTACTTGCATTTGAAACTTCTTTAACATATTGCATTGCTATTCTTTTTAGATAATCCGCGTGCTCTTCCGCTACAAAAAAGCCCATAAAATTAGGTGAGGTGTAGCTTTCCAATTTGAGTGATTCATTTAATACAGCTCCCTGTCTTTCCATTACTGTTTTTAAGCTTTGTGCTAAGTGTAGAGCGTCTTGATCTGGAGCCTAAGAGAATTACTCAATAAATAATATTTTATTAAATTCAATTTATTCATTTATAAGCAGTACAATTGAATTATACTACAATAAAAAGGCACCTAGATGCATCTGTGTGTGCCAAAAACTATAAGTAATTTACTTTAGTCCTAACAGCTGGTTTTTAAGAAACTTGTATTTTGTCCAGTCCTTAAATTTTAGATAATATGGATATACTTTCAGATGCGTCTCCCAGAATTCCATATTTCGACATTGGCTCAAAAAAAACTTTATAAAAGCTGTCATAGTTGTTAAAATTATCAGCTGTATCCCTGGGGTAAACCATTGCAACTTGGAATTAGAGTGTACAAGCATGTGGGATTCCAATGGAATTTTGTGTTAAATTTTGAACTAATAAGTGAAAAGTACATTTTATGAGTAAACTGAATCCTGAAAATCCAAAGTCGATCTGATTCCTCAAAGTATTTTTCGGGATTTTTCAAAGATATAACATGAAACTGGTATCAAGTTGGCAGAAACATCATAATTTTGTTTTTCTCCAAACGTCAAAAAAACGCCACTTTGTTAACCTCTGCCAAGATGTCAGAAATTTAATTTCTATGCTGGTAGGCAAATCCAGCAGGTTAACACCTGTCGAGGTGGTAGAAATTTAATTTTTCTCCAAACGTCAAAAAAACATCACTTTGTCAACACCTGTCAAGATGGTAGAAATTCAATTTCTATGTTGCTAGGCAAATCCAGGAGGTTAACACCTGTCGAGGTGGTAGAAATTTAATTTCTATGCTGCTTGGCAACCCCAGCGGCAGCAAAAGTACTTTTGGTGCCGCTGGAGCGGCAGTAAAAGTACTTTTAGTGCCGCTCGTACTTTTACTGCCGCTCAACCATCCAGTTACCCCCGAGCTTACCACATTCGTTTGGAGAAAAAATAGCGTGTTGCATACGGAGTAGAAGCACTTTTTTGTGCTTCAGCAGTATTGCAAGCCTCACTACGTTCGGCTCGCAAACCTACTGCTTCAGCACAAAAAAGTAAAGCTTCTACTCCTAATACAACAATATACTATTCTATGCTGCTTGGCAACCCCAGCGGCAGCAAAAGTACTTTTAGTGCCGCTGGAGCGGCAGCAAAAGTACTTTTAGCCTCACTACGTTCGGCTCGCAAACCTACTGCTTCAGCACAAAAAAGTAAAGCTTCTACTCCTATATATACTATTTTGAACCTCGAATTGACTTCAAATTCGCCTTGTTTGATGAAAACATCATGGTTGATAAATCCTGAAAATTTGAAATCGATCTGATATTCCGAAGTATTTTTCAGGATTTTTCAAAGGTGATTTAACGTGAATTTTCCATCTTTTTCTAGTATTAGGTTGGAAAAAAAATCATAAATTTACTTCTGAGCCTCAGATTGACTTCAAATTTACTTTGTTTGATAAAAAGATCCTGGTTAATGAATCCTGAAAGTTTCAAGTAGATCTGATACTCCGAAGTATTTTTCAGAATTTTTCAAAGGTGATTTAACGTGAATTTTCCAACTTTTTCTGGTATTAAGTTGGAAAAAGCTCATAATTTTATTTCTGAGCCTCAGATTGACTTCAAATTTACCTCCGTTCGTCCCGCAGCAATTAACTCATTGTGTCGTTTTTATATAAATATGAGGAGTTTTTAAACTAATAAGAGATTCTGATCTGAAAATTAGAGAGTTTTTGAATTAATGAGTGAATATTCCGGATTGAAAATGAATGAGTTATTGAACTAATGAGTGAACTGCTGCCCAGATCGATTTCGTGGAATTTTAGTGAGATTCCAGTGGGATTTCTCAGTTTGCTTGATGAATCTAGTTTGTACCTATGTAGTGGCGGTTGAACTGAAAAACAAGACTTTTTAGTCCAGATTCTTTGCTTGCGGCCATTCAAAATAATTCTGAAAAATCACAAAAATTCCATGGAATTTCATTGGATTCCAGTAGGATACCATGGGACTCCAGTAGGATTTTGTAAAATTCCAGCAAGATATAGTGGGATTCCAGTAGGATTTCGTGGGATTCTGGTCTACACATTTTTCAAGTTGGTTTACCCCTCGGCTGTATCTTTATGAATGTTTGTTGAAGTTTTAATTTATCCCTCTATTTATTGAGACAATATGACCGCGGTTCCATTTCACTAAATGTTGCGTTTATAATTTTTTCATCATAAGATTTTTGTTAGTAGGATCACAAATATTTTCCATTGAGTGTTCTGATGCGATTTCTGGGTTTGAGTAATTTAGATTTTCTTCCCAATTTTTATTTTGTGCCAAATTAGTAAGTTTTTTATAATTTAGGTATTTAACGATTCGATGGGTTCAAGGCAGAACGGCACAAACGCCATTTGGCATATTTTACAGGAGAGGCAAAAAACCGCCCAGAAGCTAATTTTTTTATTTTTTTCACATTTTTTTTCACCAAGCTATTGATATTTAGTATGGATTTTGTTGTTAAAAATTTCAACTGTCAAATGTTTAAAATAACATCGTATTTTAAATAAATCCATAATATTGTCGCTTGTGTCAAAACAGGTTCGTCGTGTGGCGTTTATGCCATTTACGCACAGGCGTTGGTGTCAAATGAATATTGTATCTGGAAGGTGAAATGGCAGTTAACTGGATTTGTGCCAAAACACTTTTTTGTTTTAAACAATCTTTTTTGTCGTTTATGCCAACAAAAATATTGCAATAAAAATGGGCCATTGCTCTAAAACCATTGCTAATAGTTTACGGCCCCTTGAGTAGTATTTTTTATTCATAATCTCTGTAACAAGATAGTAGTACAATAATAATTAATTTCTAACGGCATAAGCACCATACGAAGTAAACAGCAATTTTCTACAAGTTCCTTTATTAAATTCCAGCTTTAAATAATTAGTTATTCAACTAGAAGCGTATAAAGTCAAATTACACTTTACAATAATTAAAAATTAACATCAGTGTGGGGAAAAAATGTATTTAAAGTGTACATTTAAATAACATAGTACTATGTCGCTTGTGCCAAATTGAATCACAAGACATCGTTTTGGCATAAGCGCCAGAGAATATTTTGTCATAAATTGTAAACTTTCTCATATTTTAAACGCTTAAATTCAATGTTTTGATATATTTTAACACACTACATATAAAATTAATCAATGTCCTCACTGGTTTCTTGTAAAATTCGCCTGGAAAAAGCCGTGAAGTGCGCTCATGTAAAGCTTATGGACGATTGGCGTTTGTGTCAAATGATTTAGCTAGGAAACCATTTTTTGGCGCTTGTGCAAAGTTAAAATGGAATTGCCGCGAGAATTATTTTTTGGCAGATATGCCGTTTGCACAGACCGACGCAGAACCTAATTTTCTATCTTTTTGGCGCTTATGCCGTTCTGCCTTAGACGCATCGTATGCTTTTTTTATTTACGCCTATTTTCACAATTATAGTAGAACACTGATTATCCGAGCTCTGGATTAACGGAGCCAATCCAAAGACCCAGTGACTCTGATTATCTCAGGTACGCGCATCTATGCTCTGTATTAATCGAGCTTATAAAATATACATATATATATATATATATATATATATATATATATATATATATATATAAATATATATATATATATATACATCCTCAAACATTATTGCGTCCGTACAAAATCATACATTGTTGCGTCTCCAGGAAAACGAAGAGATATCTAGGATCTTAAGGCGTATACTGGTTCACCAATGAATTTGATAGATGGGGCTATATGTAGATTTTTTGTATCTTCAAATTTAAGATATACACATTTTCATATATTTTTAAACCACTGTTGCGTCCTCATAAAAAGCAACCTTGTCAGCTCCATATATTGGTTGCACCATACAATGTTGCTTCCGTGCGATGTTGTCAAACTGACAGGACGCAATAAAATTACGAAACTATGACAAAGGTAAATTGAATATCGGCTTATCGGCGTTTTCTTGGTAAAAAGTTATGAGCTGATTTGGACAACTTCAAAAACGCAACATAAAATACACAATAATAATTTCTCCCGCAATTCAAATGCGTGTGAGTAAGTCGCAATTTTTGCCGGTATACCATCGCATACATTGCCACTTACTGATACGAATTTGATTTGCACTTTTCAAATAAAGCCCCCCTGATACTAATTCTTTTTCTTACTCCCCCCCACCTCACGAAAATTGACTTTTCTGTTCTAAATAGGCGAGCGAAAGCGGAAGTGGAACATGCCAGATCATCGGTTGATAGGTACGAAAAACTTTTGCGCCCTGGATCTGGGTGCTACGTTGAACTCACAAATAATTTTATTGGAGATAAACCAGAAAAATTTCCGTTGGAAAGACTCTAGTAAGAATAAATGGTGACATTAGGATAAGAATTGCCAATATTTCTTCTTAAACAGTAAAAATAAAAAAAGGGGATATTATTGGAACTCTCGAACCAGTTAAGCAAATTTCGAACTGTGACCTTCCAGATAAACGACATTTTGTGAAACCGAAATTGGATACAGACAAATTGATGCAGACTTTGAAGATATCATGGAAACACCGCGATCCAGATAGACCTAGAGAAGCAGACGTATCTGTGATTGATAATCAAACCGAACGGACCAGTTTAATCCAACACAAAATTGATACTGGATTGGCACACCCAATTAGACAACCACCTTGACGTATGCCAGTAGCTAAACATTAGGAAGTGGAGAACCAAATTGATAAAATGCTTCAAGAGGGAATTATTGAAGAGTCGAATATTCCATGGTCTGCGCCAGTAGTATTGGTTACAAAAAAAGATGGAAGTCTTAGATTTCGTGTGGACTACCGTGAGCCTTATGAGGTCACCAAGAAGGAGAGCTTCCCTCTCCCGAGAATAGATGATACATTAACAACTCTATCGGGCTCCAAATGGTTTTCCACCTTGGATCTCAGGAGTGGATACTGGCAAGTGGCAATATACAAAGATGACAAGGAGAAAACTGCCTTCAGTATCGGAAGCGGGTTATAC